CATTATAATGAAGGAACATGTTATTCAGCCCATATGACTCATTGATGATTTGTTTTTTTTGTTCATGGCACAGATAAATCAACTATACAAACTCTTGACTACACAGACAATAGCTAGGATCAATTCACTGAGTTTGAATTTTAATAGGACTTGTTGAAAATAAGGAAACTATTGACATGTAGTTCTTTTTAAACAAACCGAAGTGCACCCAAAAGTGGACCAATAGTAAAGGGACTTTGTTCTTTTTGTGTTCACCTTGTCAGTTCATTTGAAAGAACACTCAGTTCTCTCTCTGGCCAACTTAAGCTCCCATGGGGCCTCAGTCCTCTTCCTGTTCACACTATAGCCTATAAATAATATATATTGACATGCTTTTGTTTTTACTTTGACGCTGCACTACAGTGTGGTTATAACACCCTTCGCTTTCAGATTATCTTGAAACTGGCAGAAAACCATAGCCTTCTGTTTTCTCATGCATCCCAGTGCAACAGCATGTGATCTAGAGGGTCAAATACAGTGGCAAAGAGCAAAGCGAACCTGGAGGGCTTTGTGTTCACAAGTCACAGGTTAAGTGAACCACACCGCAGACTCAGAGGGAACTCAGAAGGGTCAGAGTTCTCTTTGTGTTCACATATGTGCAAAATATGCTGAGTCACCGCCCTGAATCTGTTTAGAGGGCTGAAACAAGTATGAAAATCACCACTGCCTCATCCTGAAGGTATTTAACAAGAAGCAACAGTGAGCTTATTTGCAACCAGGACTCCCTAAAAACACTATATTAGAAAGAACATCATGCCACCCAGATTGTGTTTTCATCTTCATAATGAGGAATTAAATGTTCACTCACAACATATTTTATTAGCTTTCCTACAATATCCACTAATCATGGGCTGGAAAAAAATATATTGGCAATGAACATAATCCAGGCAGGCTGTTCTCATGCACTGTTCATACTTAAACTTACAAACAGTAATGCATCAAAATCGTATGTAACCTACAATGTCATCAGCCTGTAATTCATGTACAACCGATGTAATAGGGACGGCTGCGATTGCATGACCAATGCACTAATGGATTTAAAGAAGGAAGTGGTATAAAAGTAGAAGACACTTTTTAATAGTGTTGCTTGACAGAAATGACTTATTCTTGACAGACTCAACTCTTCTATTACATGTCACACACCTGGAGAATTTTGTTACATCACGGACCAGGTCATATTTTGTCACGCAATGTGATTGGTTGTGTTATGATCATTGCCATGGAGACAGTAGTTTTCTGTCCACCCAAACTCTGACCTGCATTCAGTGTCTCTGTGCAGAGAAGCAGCCCACCAGCCCATCGTAGCAAGTGAGGGGAATCTGCTGCTCACAGACTGGGAGTTGATCAATCAGTGTAGATACAGTTAATGAGTTAAAAACACATATACAGCGGGATACCTGTGTGATTTTGAACAGCTGCCTGTTCATTTTACGTTTTAATAAACACCACAGACTTGGACTGTAAAGCCCTGACACGCCGGTTAGCTGTTGGTGAGCATCTGTCGCCCTAATCTTTGCTGAATGTCCCACACCATTGACCTTCACTGGGCTTGTCGTCTTTTTTTCAGCCAGTTCAGCATGTTGAATCAGTTTCAGAGACTGAAAGGCCCATCAGTGAATGAAATCACTCTGATTAGCAGTTCAGCTCAGCACACAAGAAGAGAAATGGAAGTGAGGAACGTAAACAAACAGCTAAAGGCAAGCGCGTGTGAGGTAAGGTAAGATTATTTAGCCATTGAGCTCTTTAGCAGAAACATTTCATGTTGGTTTGTGTTATTGTTTACTGGCGTGCAGTAAATATGCTTTGTTGTCAACATTGGATTGTGTTGTTAATGTGCTAACTGGCTAACTAGCGTCATGACGGTCTTCTGGTCTCCCTTTTTGAATGACAAATACAAACTCCCGCTGCTTGCTGGTATGGAGCGTTATTGCCTCTCACGCAGGTGCAGAATGTACATGCTAGTTTGCCATCACCTGTAGTCTTTGTGGTGTGTTCAAGTGCAACTTTTTGGCTGAAACACAGACAGTGTGAGGTGATGCAACAGTCTGCTTTCATCTAGTTCTTTGATGTTGGCATAGTGTGTCTGGGCCTCTAAGAAACGCATGGGAACCCTGGTTACCATGGAGACGACTGAAACCTTTTGCCAAAGCATAAATTGAAATTGTTGCGCTGCTCTTGTGAGGAGGGTTATGGTTTGGGATGAGTCAAATAAATACAGGACTTTCCCCCAGGAGACTGGCGTGCATGTCCTGTGTGAAAACAAGCAAACTTTAAGTTATTTATGGTACATCATTACCTTGTTTTTTTTTTTTTACCTAAACCTAATCTACTTACCTTTACTTTTATAAACCTAATCTATGTAACCTTATGTTCAGTACGTAATGTGACAACGTCATTCGTGGGGCACTAATTTGTTAGATATCACACATACCGTTATCAGTTACATTTCCATCAAACTCTACTGTATTTAAGACGAAGCATTTTAGTGGTAGGAGAGCCATTTTCAGGTGAAAGCTGTATGCTGTCTCCATATATAGACCTGTGACTCAGCAGTCAGGGCTTTTAAAGAAAGAAAACATGTTCAGACCTTGACAACCTCAGGGTTCCTATTGGTTATATGCCAGGGGCTCAGCTGGTGGTGTATCAAAACGCACAAAGGCTCTATTGATGGATGAGAGTGCCACTGCATGAATAATAGACAAAATATATAACAAAGAAACAAAGCAATAACGCACTAATGTTGTTGATTCACTCCCCCCCTTTGTTTGTTCTTTTATTCTATGATTTATTTACCTTTTTAGGCATCTTAGCAAATATTTGACTCTCTCTCACACACACACACAAACACACACCTGCGGATTACAGCCTTCACCAGCTTGACACCTGTACAGTAAACAGCTGTGCTGGATTTATTATTACCTTTATGAGTGACGCTAATGGCAAAGTGCCTGCATTCTGCTACAGAGACTGGAACACTTAATTGGCCTGAAGGGTTCTACACTAAGCTGGTTTAAATCTTATTTATCTGATCATTTTCAGTTTGTTCACGTTCATAATGAATCATCCTTATGTACTAAAGTTTGTTTTGGAGTTCCGCAAGGTTCTGTGCTCAGACCAGTCCGCTTTACTCTATATATGCTTCCTTCAAGGTTACATCATTAGAAATCACTCTTTAAATTTCCATTGTTATGCGGATGATACACAGTTGTATTTATCTATGAAGCCAGAAGAAAGTCATCAATTACCTAAACTTCGTAATTGCTTTAAAGACATAAAAACTTGGATGAGCACCAATTTCCTGATGTTAAATTCAGACAAAACTGAAGTTATTGTTCTTGGCCCCAAACAACTCAGAGACTCTTTATCTGATGACATAGTTTCTCTAGATGGCATTGCTCTGGCCTCTAGCACTACCGTAAGAAACCTCGGAGTAATATTTGATCAAGATTTGTCTTTTAATTCTCATTTAAA